TTCTTCCAATTAACAATTTCTTGCGACACACTGCTAAATAAACAGCAAAGCACGAAAAACAACTGGACCACAAGCCAAACAGCGTCACACAGGACAGATTCGCTGCTTTATTTATATTTCGTTATCAGCGAAATGATCGTCGAAAATGATAAATTGATAAGAAGGAGCCTCGCGATGACCAAGAAATGATTGGAAAAAATACTGATAAAGCACACAGCCTTCGCTACCTCTACCCTCCTTACCTCAAATACCAGCAATTTGAAAATAGCAGAACAGAAGGACTGGATTTAAGTGTCACGTGTAAGAAGACATTTTACGCGATGCAGCAGCAGTCTGTCTGTGTTTCATCCCTTAGCTGTAAACACTGGCCAAACTTAAGTGTCATGTGTAAGAAGACATTTTACGCGATGCAGCAGCAGTCTGTCTGTGTTTTATCCCTTAGCTGTAAACACTGGCCAAACTTCGGTGTCACGTGCAAGAAGACATTTTACGCGATGCAGCAGTCTGTCTGTGTTTCATCCCTTAGCTGTAAACACTGGCCAAACTTAAGTGTGTAATAAGACATTTTACGATGCTACAGTCTGTCTGTCTGTGTTTCATCCCTTAGCTGTAAACACTGGCCGAACTGTGCGAAAATCGAAAATTAAAAATAAGTAACCAGTGAGGCGCATATTAGAAGGCGTGAGATGATCTGTACCAATTAGGAGCTCTCGGTCCTCCCGGGGGAAGGAAAACACTTTTTTCAGGCGAAATCAACGACGGCAACGGCTCTTGTCGCATATTTCTACATTGGCAGCAGAAGCTATCGGATCCTGGCAACAATTCAGACGAACCCCGAGGAAATTAAAAGTCAACAGGCAAGCGTGCACCACCCTGGGCACCAGTGACACGTAGAACACCCACCAGATGTAGCGGGAATGCGCGAAAAAAGACCGCACAAAGACTGAAAACTGAAGAAGAGCGAAAATCGATGCCGGCACAGGGGGGGATGCGCATCATCCCCAGGACGCATCGCTCTCCAACCGACGACCACTAGCCATCAGATCCGTGCACACCCCCATCAGGAGGACGCTTATTTCTTGCACCGTGTCAATCACCACCCCTCCGTGCACCTCGCACACTACCCGCTGCACATGTCGCATACCGCAGTGCACCACTTCGGGCACCGCGATGCATGCTTCACGTGATATGCTTCAGGCATCGTGGTGCACCACTTCGGGCACGGCAATGTACGATTTGACCCCGGTGCACCACTTTGTGAACCGCGATGCACCATTCGAAAATCGCGGTGCGCCATCTCGGACATTGCGGTGCACAACCTCGGGCACTGCGATGCGCGGTTTCGGGCATCGCGATGCACGCTTCGACCCCGGTGCACCACTTTGCGAACCGCGATGCACCATTTTAAAACCGCGGCGCGCCACTTCGGTTGCGGTGCACAACTTCGGGCATAGCGGTGCACGGCTTCGGGCATCGCGATGCACGCTTCGACTCCGGTGCACCACCTTGGGAACCGCG